ACTTCATAAGTGGACTTGTAGACTTCATAAGTGGACTTGTGGACTTCCAGAGTTCATAAGTGGACTTGTGGACTTCATAAGTGGACTTGTGGGTTCATAAGTGGACTTCTGGACTTCAACTCCCAGAGTTCTGAGAGTTGAAGTCCACAACTCTTAAAGTTGCCAAGGTTGGAGACCCCTGCTTTAGACCATGGGTGACAAACTCAATTGTGTCACATGACATATCGTGGAGTTTTTTGCCTTTGCAGAGCCGGGGTGAGTATGGCTTGCACATAACGCATCCAGTTTACGGGCCACCAGTTTAACATCCCTGTTTAGACGTAGTCCTTGACTTATGACTGACACAAAAAATGACGTCAGGGTGGAAAATCAGAAGTCCAGGCAGTTCAAGGTTTATTGCAAGCGTGTGCTCTCTGCAAGAATCTGAACTATTAACTGTTAAAGGAAATTTAATGGGAGATAAGAATAGAAAAGAATTCAAGGAGGGATGGACTTGGGCATGAAGGGACTCAAGATTGATGACGCATTTGACCCCTCCCTTAGGCTCACCCGGGTGAACTTCTACAAACATGGATTCAAAGTTCCAGCAGTGACGGCCCCCCTCTGCAATCATGTGACTGAACTTCTGATGCTCAGCGACAAAACTCCATTTGCAGGCATAGTCATGACTGCATTTTATCACTGCTAACAATATCTGAGCATTATGGTCATATGTACCTGTAATAGAACGAAAGCAGTTTGCTCACCATCTACCTTCTCTAAATCAAATCTGAGCATTAGACAGGCCCTGTGAATGAGAATATCGGTAAAGAAGGCATATATATGGAAGATAATGTAGTATTGCAGGCAAACTCTGCCTACAGCATTGAGTTCGATCTTGAATAGCTCAAGGTTGACTCAGCCTTCCATCCTTCTGACATCAATAAAATGAGGACCCAGATTGTGGAGGCAATGTGTTAACATTGTAAAGCACCCAGAGAATGCTGTAAAGCACTTTAGGGTGGTATATAAGTCTTACGTACTATATACTGTATATATAAAAGTGAAATACTACTCATGCATCATCACAAAATCTCCAGAACTGTAAAGCCTACAAACTTGAAATTTTGGCACATATGTTCCTCTTGGCTTCTAAGTGCTCACTAAGAAAGGATTTTGTGAAATGACCATCAGAGCATTAGTTTTTCATATATTATTATTAACATGCTCTGATGCTAAGGAGTTCTAGTCCCCCTCCCCATCTGAAAATAAATTTGTTCCAGTATGCAAAAACACAAGCAGAGGAGAGGAGTTTCAGTTTTAGTTTCATAGCACCAAGCAGCTTTAGTACAGAACAGTTGAGCTAAGCCACGCCCAGGCTCCTTGCTGTCTCCTTGTTCACAGAGCAAATACTGTTTCAGTTTCCAAACAGCTCTCAACTCACTGACAGGATGCTAGCCAGATGAATACTGATGGATGCTGGTAGGTAGAGGCAGAATTCCCCCCCCCCTTATTTTCCTTCCCAAAAACTAAGCCCGACCACATAGTTTCGTAGTAAAGTATGGGTATCAAGCTAGTAATACATATTTTTCAAAAAAAAAAAAGAGAAGAGAAACCTTATTTGGATCTTCAAAAGCTTCCTGTAATTTCTCATGATTTATTATAACGATTGCAAACGGTTCTTTGAGGGTTCTGTTTCTGTTTGCAGATGGGTGTGAATGTGGTCGATTCATCGGTTGCTGGCCTTGGAGGCTGTCCTTATGCTCAGGGAGCATCAGGAAATGTGGCAACGGAAGACATGGTGTACATGCTGCACGGCCTTGGGATTCACACAGTAAGTGAGAAACTGCTGTAGTTCTCTCTCCTTAGCTGGCCATCGGAGGTAGGCCTCAGCAGATAAACTAAACCTATAGGTTACCAAGCTTTCGTTGGATCTTGAAATGCTAAAAGTGCGAAAAATTAATTAGCGGGATAGCTTAGCAGCCTTTTTATTTATATCCCACCTTTATAATTTTTTTTATAAGCAACACAAATTGGTGAGCATAGCCAATACTTCTCCCTGCAACAATCCCCTGTTGGGTGAACTGGACAGAGAGAAAGTGACTGGCCCAAAGTTGTCCACCTGGCTTTGATGGCCAAGTTGGGACTACAATTCACAGCCTCCTGCTTTCCAGCCTGGGTGCCTTAACTACTACACCAAACTGGCTTTAAAAGCCTAAGTTCTCCAGTATTGTGCAAAAAGTCAGTTGCTCTTAATTCATACAAGGCACAGAACAAAAGTGCTTCCCAAAGTTAATACTAAGCATGCTTAAGATGTGTGAATGTAGCTGTAGGTTTATAGCTAAATTTAGTAAGTGTATGGTATGAATCTAGCCAGTGGTCATATCCATTGCACGAGACAAACATACATTGCTTCTGAGAGCAGATGGCCCATAAGAGAAAAGTGTTTGTTTGCTCCTGCATTTAATAAAGTTGCTGCTTCTTTGTAAAGTAAAACACAATTTACTATTCCCCTGGTTTGACTTTATTATTTTTAATTCTGTAAAATAAGACCAAAACTAAATAATCCCCAGAATTTAGAAATTTAATGTTTGTTTAAAATACTCTATATTAATCAAACTACAGCTACACTTTAAAAAGTCAGTAAATAAATCTCCCAATTAAAGCTTGTAGCTCTTTTGTTCCCAGCATATCTTAACCAAATGTTGTTTCACACATGAAAGGCTTCTAACCCACATCTGCTCTTTAAAGAGTATGAAAATAAATTTTAGACTACTGTCCTCAAAAGATTCTGCACTTGAGTCTTTTGGATGTTTCTGTAAATGTTCCCAACCCACATGAAACAGAAGCCTGTCAGAATATCATACAGATCGTCGTCCTTGATTTACAATAGTTCATTTAGTAACCACCAGGGGTGGGATTCTACCAGTTCGCACCTATTCGCTAGAACCGGTTGTTAACATTCTAAGCAGTTCGGAGAACCAGTTGTTAGAAGAAATTACTGGCCTAATCCTGTAAGGAAGGCAGGAAGGAAACATTCTGGTGTTGCTTACAGAAACTGCCTCTCCATTAACCCTTATTACATTCTTGGCAGGGCTAGACTCTGGAACGTCTCTGGAGTTTTTTTCCCCTCCTTTGCTGGTACTTTGCTTGTGTGGAGTGACCATTCAAAGTTACAATGGCACTGAAAAAAGTGACTTATGACCGTTTTTCACACTTACGACTGTTGCAGCATCCCCACAGTTATGAGAGGCCAGGCGAGGAGATGCGTGCCTCGATGTGAGTGATATTGAGTTGGCCACGCCCAGCCAATAACATGACCAAGCCACACCCACCAACTAAGCCACGCCCACAAAACTAGTTGTTAAAAAACTTGACTCCCAGCCCTGGTGACCACTCAAAGTTACACTGGCGCTCGAAAACTAACTTTATGTCCCTTTTTCACACTTACAACTTGCAGCATCTCTGTGGTCAGTTGGTTAAAATTCAGATTCTTGGCAAGTGGTTCATATTGATGGTGGTCGTGGTGTCCCAGGGTCACATGATCACCTTTTGTGACATTCTGACCAAGTGAATGGGGATTCACTTAATGGCCATGTTGCTAACTTAACAGCTGCAGTGATTCACTTAACAACCGTGGCAAGAAAGGTCATAAACTGGGGCACTTATTCACTTAACCGTCTTGCTTAGCAACAGAAACTTTGAGTTCAATTGTGGTTGTAACTTGAGGACTGCCTTGTAGCTTCGTGAATGCAAAATAAACAGCTGTCCTTTTTTTCTCCTCTCTTTTAACCTACCAAAGGGTGTGGATCTATCAAAGCTCCTTGAAGCAGGCACTTTCATCTGCAAGATGCTGAACCGGAAGACCAGTTCAAAAGTTGCACAGGCCACCTGCAAACTGTGAGGTAGATCAGTGCCTTTCCTGGACTTGCTGGGAATCAAAACTCTATGGCAGTCTGGAAACTGCCATGCTAGCATTTGTTCCCCTCACTGTATTTAAGCACTATCCAATGACTCAGAATTAAAAGACCAGAAAATGAAACGGCTGGATTTTACACTAAAAGGAAGAAGACGTTAAAAGAATGTAGGACGCCAGAGCTCCCTAGCAAACGTGTTGGATGTGTTTGAAGATGGATGTTGCAATTGTCTTAAGGGGCAAAGGCATTGTTCTCGCCCTTATTTTTGATCTAGGCCTCTTGTGCCTAACCCTAAACCCTGAAATCTGTTTTGTACCTAGGGCCATCACACTGCTCAGCATCACTGCCTCCAATGTTTTTCCAGTGCTGGGCTTTCTAAAGGTTTTAACTGTCAGGACAAACTTCCCTTTTTATAAGCTGTTGGGTCATTAGGATCCTTTTTAGGGGCAGTGGTCCTGGGGAATTCTGGGAGTTGAAGTCCACACAACTTAAAAGTGGCCAAAGTTGAGAAACTCAGATCTACAGGATTTGCCTCGTCAAACCTTGAAACAGAAAAATGTATGCTGGGATTTCTTTCCAAATAAAACACATTTTTACTCTGGATTGAATGTTATTTGTGCCATTTGATTTTCCTCCAATGTTCTGCACAATGGAACCAAACTTGAGATAGTCCTTAACTTAGAACCATTCATTTCATGACCAAAGTTAGAATGGCACTGAAAAAGTGGCTTATGACCATTTTTCACATTTATGACCATTGCAGCATCCCCGTTCAAAATTCAGACGCTTGGTAACTGGCATGAATTTATGACGGTTGCCCGTATCCCAGGGTCATGTGATCTTTTGTCAAAGTCAATGGGGAAGCCAGATTCGCTTTATAACTAAGTTACTAAATTAACAACTGCAGTGATTCACTTAGCAACTGTGGTTCAATTTTCTGAGTGACAGGACTGATGTTTGCAAATGTTTTTAGCGATTTTGCAAGTAGTCTATCCACTTATGACCGACCGACCAAGCGCATGTTGGATTTGCTTGGCACTGATTAACTTGTTGCTGGACTTTCAACCTTGCAGTTTGGGGCTGCTCCTGTCACTGAGCTTTGCACTTTAGCGCTACTTTTTGGGGGATCGATCTTGGGGCCCAGCTTAGGTCCCACACATGAAGATAAATAAGGTCCCAGACTGCAGCTCTATGGGTGGGTGTCTGGGGTGCTTCCGGATGTTTGACCCCCATTTCCTTGTCTGAGCTGGATATTATACTTAGCCCAAAGGTGTCCAACCTTGGCCATGTTAGCTGATGTGGTTCGCCGGCAGCAGGTATGGACAGCTGAGGTCTCGGAGAGAGAGGACTCAGATGAGGGGCCTACGTGTGGTGCAGGGATGGGACCAGGACCATCAGGGAGTGGAGTGCTGCCTTTGGAGATTGTGGAGGCTGGCAGCAGTGATGAAGAGGACCCCGAGGAGCCTGTGCCCACTGCATGTGCGCGCAGGGCTGCTCGAAGGAAAGAGCAGCTGCAGCAGCACGGGCGACTTGGGAGTAAGGCTGCAAGGTAATGGCCCCACCCTGAGGACATAAAAGCCAGCTGAGAAACTGGAGTTCTTTGCAGGAAGCAAAGAAGTTTTGGCACTCAAGCCTGGTGGACGTTCGGAATATCTTGGTTGGTGTTTGGAGACTCTTTGTGTTTGAAATATTTCTTAGTAACTTTATCTTGTTTTCTTGACAACCTTGGTAAGGCTCGTTCTTACCAGAGACAATTAGTTTGAAACAGCCTTTTAACCGTGAAGGAACGGAATTCGTAAAGAATCATTAAACAGTTTTGCTGTTACCTCTGTTTCATGTTTGTTTCCTTGGAACAAGGTTTGGGTCAGAACACTAGCTGGGGAATTCTGGGAGTTGAAGTCCACAGGCCTTAAAAGTAGTCAAGGTTGGACACCCCTGACAGCCGCTGATGATATATCACTTGCTTAGCCACAAGTTAAGCAAGAATAAATTGTTTTCCTCTCTTCTCCCACATTTTTCTGCCCCAACCATTCTAAATTCCAGCTGGCTTCTCTATCGACTTTGCTTGTCGGTAGCCAGCTGGGGAAAGTTACAAACGGTGATCATATACTCTTGGGACACTGCAACTGTCCCAAATGCATGCCACTTGCCAAGAACCCAAATTCTGATTATCTGATTATGGGGATGCTGCAACAATCGTAAATAAGTCTGTTTTTTAGTGCCGCTGTAACTTCAAATGGTCACTAAACAAACGGTTGTAAGTCAAGAACTAGCTGTCAACAATACAGAGCTGGCCACTAGAAGGCAGGATACTCCAAAAGTTCACTGCTGATTTGAACCTATCCAAATACATTTAGGTTTTTTAAATAACAAAACATTTAAATTAGGGCATGTTATTTCAAAAATATATATATACTTAACTCCTTTGTGGAGATAAAGTAATTGTTATTGTATTGCTCCGAAATACTGGTCATGTTGATATATGAACTTAGGGAATGTTTGTCTAAAATAACGAGGTATTAAAAGGTTAAGACAACAGTTCTAGAGCCAAAATAAAGCCACATTTTGCATCCTGGCTTGTTTTAAACACTCTTTCAGAGCCCAGTTTGTAGTCATATGTAGGAAAAAACATGCTTCTACAAATCGAAACAAGGTACTGAAACAGCAATTAATTGTAAATAAGACTTCTCTGGACAATGAACTTTCCAAGTCAAGCAGTCTGAAGTGAAGTCAAAGATTTAGGATTGATTACAATGCCAATAAGGGAGTTACAAGGTTGTGGTTACTTAACAAGCCCAGATTATAAATAACTAGATTCCAAGTGTCACAATACACAATGATGGGATTATTTACCAAGAGAGTAACAATAGCAATAACACTTAGACTTATATACAGCGCCACAGAGTTTTACAGCCTTCTCTAAACATTTTACAGAGTCAGCATATTTCCCTCAACAATCTGAGTCCTCATTTTACCGACCTCGGAAGGATAGAAGGCTGAAGTCAACCTTGAGCAGGCCAGAATTGAACTGCTGACAGTCAGCAGCCTGCAATACTGCATTCTGACCACTGTGTCACCATGGCAGTAGCGTTTCTGTAAAACCTCTCTGCTGAGTATCCACAGTCATGATCAAACCTTGCTGGAAAGTTCAGCATCTTGCTGCTTGCTCAGAAGTCACACACTTTGGCAAGGTTCAGAGATCTTGGGAGAAATTCCTGGAGTGGAAGACAAGCGAGTGCCTGGGGCAGCCTTCCTTGCAATTGAGTCAGATTCCAGGATAGCTTCATTTAGCTGAACTCTGGCATAATCACAATTGTTCATGTTGAACATAACCTTGAGCATACAACTATAATAGGTCCTTGTGATGGACATATTTGAGTGTTGATCAACACCCTGGAGGAAACCTGAATTTTTGCTTCACTGTTGGAATCCATCTTTCTAAGAATCTCAATCATCAAAGATACTGTATTGTATGATCTTGACCAGAGATCCTAGCCTGCCAAGGATTAAGGCCCTAATGATGAGGAGCTTAGTTCTGGAACCTGATCTAGCTTAACTGGCTCAACTTTCCTTGTTCTGGAACTTGATCAGGTCTGGTCTAGCTTGTTAAATCTGGCTAGACTAGACCTGCCATCTAACTGGCAGGGAAGGACAGGTCTTTTCAACATTGCTGGCTGGCCATAAGTTTCCCACCAGCTTGCCTAATAACAGCTGTCCTTCCATCTTCTCCAAGCAAAATTGAATATATAATGTCAGGATCTTGCTTCTGATTCATTCTTTTCTGACTTTTCAGCAGAGTGTGAAGATTTGGTTCTGCCAATTAGCATAGTGAAGTAACCCTGGGGATGGCTGGTGACATGAGGTTGCTCCGTCTGCCCGGTTAAGTTTTTTAGGTTTCTGAATTTTTAAACTTTTTAACGTTGTTACATTCAGTTTTTCTCTGTGCTTTTAGTCCTGTGTTTATATTTATTTCACTGAGGAGTGTGGTGGCTCACATGGTTAGGATGCTGGGTTGGAAGTTAGCAAGCCTGCGCTTGAGACCCAAATGCTGCTGCCTGGTGGGGTGAGCTCCTGTCATTCGCTCTAGCTCTTGGACAGGGACATGAAAGGAGTTCTCACAGCCACCCCCCAAGCAATGGTGATGTCACTTTCAACCTGGAAACGCCAACAAAGTGCCTACGACATGAATGGGACATGTTGTTGTAAACCACTCAGAGCAAGGGTGGGCAATTATAGTTCTTTTATGACCTGTGAACTTCAACTCCACAGAGTTGAAGTCCACAGGTTGAAACGTGTTATAGCTGTCTACTCCTGATCCAGAATCACTTAGGCGAGGTGGGTGGTATAGAAATTTAATAAATAAATAAAAGTATTTGATAAATAAATAAAAACAAGTCTCACCATTTTGTTCAGACTACCTAGCTTTGGCCCTGTCCACAGTCAAAGCACTGCACCTGAAGGGTTTTTCCATCCTGTTGTGACATAGGAAAAATAATGGTTATCATTCTCAAAGCAGCTGTGCAAAAATGATTAAGATACTTTATCATATCTTCAGATATTTTCATTATGCATAAGTACCAAATGTATAGTACAGTATACAGAATGGATAGTATACATTTGTACTTTTCTTATGTGTTGAATTTTTGAAAAAAGGTTGTTATTGAAAATAATTGCATTGTTGATAAGCAGTCTCTACATAGTTACCAGTAGTACCACTTACAACCATTCATTTAGTCACCATCTGAAGATCCAATAGGACTGAAAAATGTTATTTACAACCAGTACTTGCATTTACAACCGTTCACAATCATGTGATCAGAATTCGAGTGCTTGGTATCTGGCATGGATTCATGATCGTTGCAGCATCCCAGGGTCATGTAATTACCATTTACAACTTTCCCAAATGGTTTTCATGAAGCAAAGTCAGTGTGGGAAGCCAGATTCTCTTAACACCCCTAGCAAACTTCACAACTGGGGCAAAAAAGTTCATAGAATCAGATGCAACTCACTTCAGCCACCATGCAGAAATTCAGGCCCTGATTGTGGATGTAAACCGAGGACTACTGTAGGATGAAGTTTATGGATACTTTATTATGATTCTTCCTTTCATATGTTTATGGCTCTTATTGCATGCCAAAACAACTAGATATAGGGACAGTTTTTTTTTCCACTCATGCTATTACTGTGCTGAACACTTGATTCCCACAGCACTGTCTTACGGCTAAGGATATTTACTCATGTAATAGGGCTGTACTACTACAGCACTATAGTTCTTCATCTTTCCCATTACCTTCCCCTATTGGTTTCTTATGATTGTTACTTTTATTGTTGTTCGTATGTGCAGAGAGCTTATGCACTAGAGACACACTCTTGGTGTGTCATTTGGCCAATAAAAAAATATTGTATTGTCTTAATCTGTCTTGGGGATAGTGTAAAAGATAACTTTCTCTTTCTCATTCATGCTGGGTTTCCCAAAACTGAATGGGAAACTGAATGCCTTATTTAATTTATTTATATTTATTTGTTATGTCAAGCATGTGTTAACAGATGTAAGTATAAACATGATTATTAATACATGAAATGGGTACGAATAAAAGGGAATG